CCCCAAAACCCCAAAACCCCAAAACCCCAAAACCCCAAAACCCCTTAATTTTATTATAAATTGAATATTAATTATAACATGATGTATTCCGTCGAAGACAGTGTACACCCTCCGCAACGTGATAATCACAGAAGAGGCCCTGAAGATCTAATCAATCAAGATCTTGAAGAGAATTCTGCTAGATTAAATTCAGGTCATCACAACCAGGATACTCCAGAAGCAAGCGTAAATAAAGCAAAAGGTCTTGATGATGCTCTGGGTCAAGAGTCAGAGAAGATGTCTAAAATTACAGGAAAAAGAGTTGAAGGAGTTATTTCACCAAATATTGGGATATCTGGTAAACGTAAAAGTCCATTCACAATTTCAAAGAAATCATACAGATCAAAAATAACAACAGTTAGTAAAGACAAAAGGAGCAAAGTCAGCCGAAGAGGAGGAAGTATGGAAACTTCTAGCAACACAAGGGCTCAAACTGGAGCAATTGGCATGGCAATGAAAGTGCTAAATATGGATGAAGAAGAGAAAGAGATGGTATATTTTTCAACTACCGAACATAATATCAAAATGAAAGACCAATTGCAAGTATTATTCAGCAAACTAGACCTTGGTAAGATCTCTATCAGCTGTATATCTCAATTTCTGTGTATTCTATACTTTCACCAACATCTGTATCCCCACAACCCATAGCTCCAACTGTTGCTAATCTACTTTAGTGGAAGCTTTCAAGACTCAGCAAGGCAGCACCAAGCGTGGTGACTACTTCACACTCAAAGATGAAGCTTTCCGCGAGAAAGACCTCGAAGTCGGCAAGATCCTCCGCAAAATGAAGAAGGTCAAGGCTCAGATCAATGTCATGCGCAAGCAGCTCAGGATGTCATACGACGGCGACAAACTCACCGAACTTGAGAACGAGCGTAAAGCCAAGACCAAAAAGTGGAACAAACTGAGGCAGGAGAACGAAAAGCTGAAGACAACTAAGGCGAAGCATCTGAGAGAGATCGCGTCCATCGAGAACGAGGGGAACTGGACTCAAAGGAAAGATGTGCTAGTTAATGAACTCAGAGAATCAAAAACAGAATCAAGGAGCCTGTATTATAACAATTTGGAAAAGAAGAAAGATCTCATTAATAAGCATGAAAATGTTGTCCTTCTTGACAAGAAGATCAGGAATATGCAAAAATTGACCGATGTCAAACAGAAAGTTTCTCCTAAAGAGGAAGATAAGAAAGAAGACTCTGGTATTGAAGACCTTGATGAAAAGGTAAAACAAGCAACTAAAGCAATGGAAGTTGAAGAGAAAAGAAATCAGATAGAAATTCACAAGCAAAAGGCTGAGATTAGTAATCTAGAGCACCTTGTCGAGATTGCTGCTCTCAAATTAAGAGAGAAAGAGCAAGAAAATAGACTTTGAGAGCTCAAAATTAAGGAAATTAAGAGACAGACAAGGCATAATGCGCTCAAGCCTCTTGATTATGAGCCTCAGACTTCAAGGGAGCTTAACTCTGATGTCCAGATTTACAGGCCTAGTCATAAAAGTACTACTTTAGAGAAATCTGAGAATAGTAACATTCAAGGAATTCTCAACCAAGAATTGGTTGGAGAACTCACCGAAGAAAACATCAAACTTCATGAAGAAAATATGAAGGATTATAGAGCAGATGACGACTACGAATTTTACTCCGGATTTGAAGATGGATCCGGAGAAGACCCTAAAAGTAAGCCAGCTAAATAAGTAATTTCATTTTTTATGATTTTCTAAGTTTAGAAGTTCTTCAACAGAAGAAGAATTAAAAGGGGTTTTGGGGTTTTGGGGTTTTGGGGTTTTGGGG